CTTCTTGTTGCCTCTTTTCCGTTGCTTTTTCTCCTTCTTTCTCCATCCGTCGGTACACTTGTCCGTTTCTTCCCTGTCGGTTATCTGTTTCCTATTGCTGTCGGTAAGTTCCCTTCCTTTCTTTCTCTTTTCCTCCGGCAGTTGTCGCCTTCCTCCTCTTTATCTCCCTCGTGTTCTTACCTGTCACTCTAACCTAATTCGTCCTCTACCCGTCTCTATATTGCTTCTTAATTAGTATTTCCGCTCTTTGTGTCTGACCTACCTTATATCTCCACGTTCTCCTGCCTCCGCTCTCTCTGACCCTCCGTCTCCTCTCTCCTTCCTCCCTCCAAATCCACTACTCTTCACAATTTTCTTCTTCCGTCGCTCTATACGTCCGCTCACTTTCACTGTCGTGTCGCCACCTCAACGTATCTATAAAAAACAGGGATATCAAAATCTAAAGAATCAATGCAGTGCGTTTCCAGATCGTCCATAATAATATCAGCTAATATGGGGGATAATGGGGATCCCATCGGTGTACCAAAAATTTGTTCATAGAATTTGTTATTAAAGGAAAAGCAAGTTGATTGAAGTATGAGTTCTATTGCATATAAAAATTGAGGTAAACTTAATTTAGTAGATGTTGAAATGTCATTCCTAACTAACTAACATCTTATTCTGGCTCTGAGCCCCTTATGTTTTTATTTTTTAAACACAGAAGTTCGCAAAGTAGTCATGTCAAAGGATATGAAGTAGAATGTAACAATGAAAATGATAAATGGTTTTGCATAAAAGGTTACTGAACTTGTTGATTACCAACCAACCAAAAATATAAATATTTTAGTAGTAAGTATCATGTGACAATCATAGTAAAATAAACAAATTTTTATTTTTAATTTATCAGTCTCACAAAAATTCTTTAAAACAATGTAACGTTCTCCATTTGCCATTTGATACATGTAAAGTGGTTGGTAATCAACAAGTTCAGTACCTTTTATGCAAAACCATTTATCATTTTCATTGTCACATTCTACTTCATACCCTTTGACATGAGAATTTAATCCTATATTAAATAAAGGTGAACATATAAACAAAGGTTCACCTTCATGTAATAAAATAATTTTTATAAGTCCAAAGCATAAATCTCCAGAACTATCTGTTCCCGTAATAAGAGCAAATCCAAGTTTATATCGAACATTTTTCCATTCTATCCAGTTCATACAATAATTTTCAGAATTCATTATCAGAGAATTAGGGAGTGATAATTTGAAGAACGAATACTGAGGAAATTCTGAAAGCTTTTTACTTTTTCCAGGCCCTCTAAGAAGGCAAAATAAAATGCTACACTGTGTTGTAAATCTATAGCACAAACTCAGCTGAAATTTGATAGCAAGAGACAAGAGAAGATTTTTTCTTGATTCTGTTGCAGTGCAATATGCTTTCAAACGTTTATGCATAGCTTCGAAACGCATGCAGGATACATTTGCAAACGGCCCCATGTATGTAATTAAATATTCTGGCATAGTGCAAAAGAAAATGATGTTTAGGTTTCAATTTTTCTCCGGTGATTCTAAGGTATAACTCATTGTGCTCTTTTGTTAAAATTTGTAAAACATTTTATATCCGATGGAAGTCTTTTTGCCTGAATTATGCTAAAGATATCATGTAATAATAGATATAATTGCCAGAACTCATCATTTTCATGAACTAGATCGCCAATAAAGATTCCCAAACAAACGTACGAGTACACTCATTTCATTTGCTGTCATTTTCAATTTACTCTTTTCTAACATTTCAAGAGTTATACAAGGTGGCTTATTTAGACTGTCATAAGGACCATAATTAAATATATTTATTCTGCAGTTGAGCGTTTTTATAAATAAGGGATCTAAGTGTGAAAAGTGTTTCAAGATAGGAATCATTGAGTAGTGTCCTATACCTTCCAAACAGTCGTGCATTCCATCAACAAAAGGCATTTCTATAATATCTATCGATGGTACGACATTAAAAATACACTCTTCTTTAATTCCAGTCAGACTTGCATTTTCTGCACTTAAGTCATTTTGGTAGCTTTCAGAAGTTCTTAACAAAGTTAAGTCTTCAGTGCACTGGACCTCGGTCAAAAGTTTTAATGCTTTACAAAAACGGCACATAAATTTAGCAGAAAAACTTTCAACTAATCCACACATGGAGTGAATACCAAGATTATCTTCAGTCAAAATACTGGTAGCAAAATAAACTCTCTTATTCTCTTTCATTGTATTTATTTCTATCCCTTCAGTTTCTAAGAAAATGAGTTCATTAATCAATGGAGCAAATGTTTTCCTATTACCAAAATTCTTTCTATCATTACTATGAAACAGAAGAGCTAAAAAGATATTATCCAACTTGGATTGGCATTCTGGGGGCAGACAGGGTACTGTTACATACACTGCACCTATCTTTTCTAAATGTGGTCCCAGAGGGTTATTAGGTTCCCAGTCATCATAATAAATTAGAAGTGGAAACACTATATCCGACTGTTTAAAATATTTAGTGGTTACAGATCGCCATCTTTCACATTGTATAAAATTATATATCATATTTGGCTCGTAGTTGCTGCATGTATTGTATTGTACTATTGAAAGCATCAGGAAGCTCAAAAAATTTCTTTAGAACTTTTCTAAGTGAAATGTACTGTGCAGTTACTGGTTTCATTTGCAGTTTTACACCATTGTTTGTATTTTTCTTCTCTATACAAGAATTAATGTAGTAAGTTTCAGGTGGTATATATGCGCCTGTAGATTTAAAATACTTTATGCGTTTGTATTCTGTGGATAGATGGTGGAATGGATTACTTAGGGATTTAAACATATCTTTAATGCTGTTAATATCTTCCGCCTTTGCGTGACAAGTTGAAAGTGTATTTAATACTTTTTGCTTCAAAATGTTAAGGAAACTTCCACTGAGAAAACTACAAATATTTTCGACTATAGACTCAACCTGATTACGTGGGAGACCTGGTTTTGTATTAATTTGAGATATAAGAATATTAGCATGTTTTTCCAACATAGTATAAAATTTAGAGAATTTGAAAAAAAAATTATATATTTTTTTACTTATTAATAAAAAAAGATTACTTTTAATTAATCACTTCATCACGCAAGGATAGCTTAACATGCTTTAACTCAACTTTACTTACTTAACTGTCAGCCTTAATCTTTAGGTACTCTTCTATTAAACCTAGTACTGTAAGATTACAAATATCTTTGTCGCTTGGTGTAGAGATTTTGCAACATCGTTGCAAAAATAGCCATTCCCTGGCACATTCACTTGGGTAGTTGGTATCTAACGCATATGTTGATTTGAACGCTATATCAATTGCTTTTAAGGCAGTCTCCACCTCGTAACATATGTCATTAATAATTATATAGGAATGCTTAATGTAATCCAACTCTGCACCAACAATTACGGCTTGCACTCCCAAAGTAAGTCCATACTTTGCATATTTTTCTCTCATCAACTTCAATGTGGGTTCAATGTCATTTGAAGTCTACAAATATATATATATATATTTGTCAAAATTTTGTATTAATATTATTCAATATTTAAATTTGTATGAAAAAAGATTCTTATATTTAAGTATGAAGTAGAGGAAACTCTCTTTATCAGTGTGAAACAGGTCACAAAGAACTCAAAAGTTATTAGTTACATTTACATACTCTTAACAGATACATTCTCTACAGTAAACAATTTTTTATAGCAATAATAACATTGCAATTATCTAATCTATTTACAGTTCCGAATGCATTATCCGCTAAGATTTCTAAATCAGTCGGACTAATTAATATCTATGCAAGCTAGATTTTCATGCAAAATTATCAATTCTTTATCAGTTAATTTAACTCCATATGTTAAAAAGATTTTACTTTTATAAAATATACTAACCTTCACAAAAAGTAAAAATGCCTCACGTGACTCTTGGCGCTAAGGTCGCCAACTTATTTTCTTTCTTTTTTAAAGTAGTCACTACTGTGAATAACGAATTTATAGCAAGCAGTGTTCTTACTTTTTACCTTCTGAAATTATTTTAGTTTACATTAGACTTAGGTTAGGTTAGGGTTAAATTAGGTTAAGTTAGATTAAACCACCCCCCCCCCCGAGGAGCGCCACCTTGTCGTGGTGGGGGGGCTTAGGCGGGCGATCGACCGGGAGCCGTCAGTGTGCCGCTTTAGGCTCCGGCGGTTCCTTAGGTCGATCGTCCGCTGACCAAGAGCGCTCCACTAGACCCTCCGTAACTCATTGCACGCCGGTGTTCCGGCAGAGTTGCGGGGGGTGGCTCTCCCGTCGCTGGGCTGGACGTGGTCCTGTCCCGGCGGCGGGAGAGGGCCGGACCCCGGAGGTAATGGGACGTGGTCCTAGCCGAAGGGTGGGCCGGCAGTGAGGGGCCGGGCCCACAGTCTTGTGGGCTCGGCGACGGACAACGCGGGCCGGTACCCCCTGTGTCTCGGGGCGACGTCCTTTTTAGGACGTGCGTCCTGGCATGGGGGGCCGGTTCGCCCCGTCCGCAACGAGGTGACGGGCCGCCGGGGCCGCTCGGACGTTTCCGAGGCGGGGCTCGGTGGCCCGGGGCCCTTCGGAGCCGCTGGGACGTATTCCCAGGTCGGGGTCCGGAGGGCTGGAGGCGGGGGGCTGTCGCTGGGGTCGGGGGTGTCTTTCTCCCCTGGCTTGCGGCGGCAGTCCCTCGGACGAAGGGGCCTGCTAGGGGGTCACGTCCCTAGTTGTCCCCAGCCGGGGGGGCTCTCGTATGGCCCCTCGCGTTCTGGCGAGGGCTCGCCCCGGCGCGAGAAGCAAACAGCCGGTCACCACGGCAGGCAAGGCGGAGGGGGGACGGGTCACCCCCGACGCCCCAACTGTCCGTGGGGCCTCCCGCGTGGTGGCGCCCGCGGCGGTACCCGGATTGTCGGAGGTCCGGGGTCCCTGAAAACCCCCACGCACTGAGCGTGGGGGCGTGTAGGGGGCTGGAGGCCAGTGCCGGGGTGCGGATTTCCCCCCGGCCCGTGCCATACTCCGGCTCCCCGGGTGGACTCGGGGCCCTTCCCAGAGATGGGGAGGGAGGGCATGCCCTAGCCGGAATAGCCGCCGCGGGTAGAGGAATTAACTCAAATGGCGGACAAAAAACAAGCTAATTTTAAGATTAAGGGGAAGAAACCCCTCCCCAAGGGGAGGGAAGCGTCGGGGGAACCGTCTTCCAAGGTTGGAAGGATGGAGGTGGACGGGGCCCTTGACGAAGAAAATGGAGGAACCAACCCATGGTGGGAAGACGTACGAAGGGCAGTCCTGGTAGGCAAGGACGACGTCTTCAGGGATGCTAATGAGCAGTTGGCGGGCCTCTCCGGGGAGAGGCTGATGGAGAGGGTATATGCCGACATAGGGGACTGGAACTCCCAACTCCATCATGGAAATGAGGAGTTGAAGAAGATCGACAAGGAGGCCAGGGAACTACTCGAAGATGGAGTGGCCTATGCCATGGTAGGGTTATATCTCCTCCGCAATAGGCTGCATGAGGAGAGGGAAAAGGCCGCGACCTACCGTGCGGAACGGGACGAGTTGAGGGCCAAACTCGTAATGGTAGAAGAGGTGAGGCTAAGGAAGCCTATTACTAAGGAGGTTGCGTCCCAGACTCTGGATCTCCCGTGCGGGGGTACAGAGTCACAGACGCAGGTAGAGCAGGGGCCAACACTGGACGGAAGGCTTGAGGCCCTCCGCGCGGGGATTGCCAGCGACATGAGGTCGGCCTTCGAGGAAAGAATGAAGGCAGTGGAGGAAAAGCTAGAAGGGCTCAGGCCCCTTCGGGGGTCTGTGCCGAAGGTTGGGCTCCCGGTGGCAGCAGGGAGTGCCCACCGCGAGAGCGAGAGGAGGGCCGCGGAGACTGGCCCAGGGACCAGGAAAGGATCCCGGAGAAGGAGGCGTGCCGGGCGGCCGGCTGGAGAACCGGGGGGCGGGGATAGGGCGATCCGCCTCCCGCGAGACCCGGGGACCGCAGCGGTCACGCTAACGATCCCGCAAGGGACGCCGAGCACGTATGCCGCCGTCCTCCGGACCGCGAAGGAGAAGGTGTCTCTTAGCGGTCTGGGGGTCGACGGCATGACGGTGAGGAGAAGCGCAACCGGGGGACTCGTGTTCGAGATCCCCGGGGAGCGCAGAGAGGCTGGCGCGGCTGCGCTGGCCTCTAAGCTGACAGGGGCCCTTGAGGGAACAGGGGCTAAGGTCGCCAGGCCGGTGACAACCGCAGAATTGCGAGTCACCGGTCTGGACGACCTGGTGACGATGGAGGATCTGGCGAGGAGCGTCGCCACAGAAGGAGGCTGCGGGGTGGAGGAGGTAAGCATCTCGATGCTACCTCCCTCCTCCCCCTGGCAACAGCGAGTGGCCTTCGCGCGATGCCCGGTTCGGGCCGCGAGAGCGCTCGCTGATATGGGGAGAGTACGGGCGGGGTTTTGCTGGGCGAAGGTGTCGCCTGTGCAGCCCCGCCCGAAGCGGTGTTTCCGCTGCCTGAGGGAAGGTCACCTCAGGCAGCGGTGTACAGACCGGGTGGATCGCAGTGACCGATGTTATCGGTGCGGTGCTGCGGGACACCCGGCGAAGGGGTGCACGGGAGCCCCGAGGTGCCCACTGTGTGTGGACCTCGGGCTCCCGAATGCCCACAAGTTGGGAGGGGTGGGATGCGGCCTAGCCCCCGGCAGTAAGCCGGCGCGGGCGAGAGGCGATCCCACCCTTCCACCTGGACGCCCCCCTTCGAATGAAGGGGTGGCGATGGTGGGAGGGGGCGGGCGCTCTAGGGCGCGCTCCCATAGGGGGAGTCCCAGATTGGGATCCCCCTCAGAGGTGAGCTCGGACGACACCATGGTGATGTCCGACTCACTGGGCTAGGGAAGGGGGCTAGCGTTCGGAGGAGGACCACTGGTCTGAGTCCGGCTAGGCTCCCTGTGTCACCCTGCCCGTTACGGGCGGGGTGTTTGGCGTCCGGGTCCCGCCGACGAATAGGCCCGGGGTAGCCCCTGCCTGGAGTAAGAGGCTCCTAAAAGGGGAAAGGAGTGGGTCTAGTAGACCCAGGGGGTGGGCACGGCTGGGAACCGTGGCTCACCCCGCCCCCAACACCATCGGGGGCGCGGCGGGTGGCCTGGTGGCACCCCCGCCGCTGGCTGGCCCTGACGAGTCCTCGTCAGGGCCAGGCCAAGAAAGAAGCCCTTCTCAGGGCCTGGCCCGAACACCTGGGCCAGAGGAGAACGCGAAGTTACGCGTGGGCGCGGGGGTCATCTGGAGTTTTGAGATTGATAGTCCCCGGATGACCCCCCTATAGCGC